TATATATATATATAGTGTGTATGTGTGTGTGTGTGTGTGTGTGTGTGTGTGTCACTGTGTGTGCAGTGGCGTAGCTAGGATTTTTTCAGCGGGGGGGGGGGGGCACTGGAGGGGCCTTACATTTTCGTTGGGGAGGGGGCACAATATATAACTTTTCTTTGTATTATACTGTTCTAACGGCATTGTTTTTAACTCAATTTTTTTTTTATCAAGCATGAATTTTCAGTGGGGGGCACCTGGGGGGCACAGAAAATTTGTGGGGGGGCTCGTGTCCCCCCAGGCCCCCCGTAGCTACGCCCCTGTGTGTGTGCGCGCGCGCGTGTGTGTGTCGATGTGCGTGCATACGTATGTACGTGTGCGCGCGTTATGTACGCTTTTCGAGCATGCCTCTAGTGAGTGTGGACTGAGCAATTGAACTTATGGAGGAGTGGAGGGTGAGCTGCTCCCAGATTCTGGAGAAAAATATCCATAATAAATTTAATAACCAAACAAAGCAAATTCAACGAACAGAAACGCAAAACATATATGCCGCTACAGCCTATATCACATCACCAAGTGTACATACTTGCTCTTGATATAGTGCAAGTGTTTTGTTTCCTGAAATCTAATGCATTTCCTCACATCACCAGTAAGTTATAACTGGTTTCTGTGGTAAGAAGAAGAATCGGACATCGTTCCAGGAAGCTACATTAATTGAAGTTTGCAACAAAAGGTGGCGGTATAATCGACGTCAACATGGCAACCTCCAATGAAAATATAAATACGTGCGGTGATAATACTAATTTGTTGCAGGAATCCACGGCCGTGTGTAGTAGTAGTACGTCGCTCTCAAGCCGTGAAGTTGCTGATAGATTGTTAGATTCAATTGAAAAAGAAATTGAAAATTTTCGTGGCAAGGCCATTGAACTTGAAAAAGAAAAGGAGGACTTGTTAATGGGGCTTCATGTGTTTGAAATGAGCGAATTCTTGCAATCACTTGACAAAGGTATTGGGTACTGCGAAGTTAGTAAGTTACTACATATGAAATTAATATTGTACTTCATACTGAAGTCACAGGAACGTGTGCCACACCGCTTCTATCTTGTATCGCTGTTATCAGAACGACGTGGATATTCGTCCGAGCATCGGACACCAGGGGCCGGTTTCACGAAGCGTACTTAACTTAAGTATGATTAAATCACTAATCATAAAGTTCGGCTACGTGTGCCGCCTTCGTGATCGGGGCGATTAAATTCCGCTTACGTGGTGGCCCCTTCGTCGATCGGGCGAATTAAATTCGCTGCGGCGATTATTAATTCGCCATCGCGATCGGGCGATGAAAAATCGCTGTGTGGCCCCTAGCATAACCACACGGGAAATATATCATAAATCTAAAGAGCAAAATAACATTTAGAGCGTCTAGATTTAAAAATTGTCCTGGGCACGTCCTTCCCATCATATTCCTATCTCCGACCTAACCGTGCGCCTGCGACATGCTATCATCAACACGCATCGCGCAACAACTGCTCGGTACGAATAGCGCATACGAACAGGGGCCGGTTCACGAAGCGTACTTAAGTATTGAACGTGATTAAATCACTAACTCACTGATTAACCATCTCGTGTAACTTAAAATTTAAAGTGACTGTTTCAGCGAAGCGTAATTACAACTTTTAATCATGAATTAAGATTAATCACAATATTTAATGTCTAACTCAGGAGCATGGATAAATCCACTAATCATAATTAGTTGCTTAGTTACTAAATTAGAAGTAG